ATGGCGCCTGTGCTCCCTCACAACACCCTTCCAACACTGTATCCTCAGCAACTGTTCACACGCACGCTACTCTCGATCTCCCTGGATGTTCCACATACGCACACACTTCCCTTCAGACTCACGCATACAGGTTATAGCCTATCTCTAACCTAGAGCAGCTATGGCTGCTTTCTACCTCTCCCACTAACTAGCGGCTATGGCCGCTTCGCCTCCCTCACAGCCCACTTCTCCCTCGGGCAACTGCCCACGGCCTTGCACAAGTCGCTCAGGCAGCACTTCCGCACGGCCCACAGTCCGAATGAATGAATTACTGGACGCTGCCTCTTGATTTATACTTCGGTTGGTCGCTGGTCTGCTCCTTTCCACCGGGCCCAGGGTGCACACAGTCCCACATGGTACTTGCTGACTGGACAAAGCGCAATCGGGACTGGGTACCGCTGACTAGGTAAGGTTGGACTGTCCACTTGCCCACTTGCCTGTAGCCTCACTTCAGCACTTCTCCAAAGGCCACTTCCGGACCTTCCGGAAGTCTGTAGACTTGGCCTTTCGGGACTGTAGCAGCTACGACCTTGACCTTTCAGGACTGTAGCAGCTACGACTTCTACACAGCTACGACCCCTACTCGACAGACCTATGGATCGAGACCCAACGACCACACTAACCTATACAGACAACAGGCGACTATTAAGACACAGGTCGCGGGTTCAAACACACAGGGTCGACTTGGTACTGTACATGGGTGAGGGCAAGGTCTAGGGATCGAGCCCTGGGATCTGCATCTGCTACTGCAAAGGTGAAAACCGTTTCATCTCTTTTGTTTTGACTCTCGACTCTTGAGCCTTTTTCTTTTGCTTTTTGTTCGGTTGAGTGCATGTGAAATGCCTTTTTTTTAATATTTTTGCTTTTTGCTTGGTTGGGTGGATGTGAAATTTATTTTGAACCTTTGATGATATTCTGGTGTTCTCAAAGAAAAACTTACGGTGGGATGTGATGTTCACAATTTCTTTTCAACTGCAGTTGCTTGCTGAGGCGAACTCCGCTGCTGCAGAAGCTCTAGGAAACATCCGAACTGTACGGGCGTTTTCGACAGAAGATGTAGAGGTGGAGCGGTTTAAGTCTAAAACTCTGGCAGCAATGGTCAAAGGCGTGCGGGATGCGTATGCGTATTCTGGGGCAGTGGCCATCAACAACTGGCTAGATCTGGGCGCAAGCGTACTCATCCTTTGGTAGGTCCTTACTCTTCCGCCATCCTATCAACGTTATACCCGCTGACCAATGCTGTCTTCAACTCTGCAGTGATCCATTGTCCCTGCCTTGGATACAACCACAGTGACTCTGCATTGTATGCTGGGAAAGACAGTGGGAGGGATAGTGAGGAAGAAGCATCAATGTCCCTGTATACACATAACAGACAGATGGAATGTTTCAATCCTTATCGAGCATGGCTGGCTGCGATGCCTGCCAAAGAACATTGTAGTGGCAAGGATGGCTGACAACACTCTGGCTCTTACTTCCCTCCTCCTCCTTCTCCTCCTCCTCTCTCTCTCTCTCTCTCTCTCTCTCTCTCTCTCTCTCTCTCTCTCTCTCTCTCTCTCTCTCTCTC